CATCTGAATCCTATGCTGATCAAAACCTGACATTCTAAAGGGGACAAAGGAACAAATTCCTCCTTAAATTCGAGTTTTTGCTTATGAAGCCCTTTCCTATCCCAACACTAGACAACATTCTATTATTGCCAGATGCTTCTCTACTTCTTTTTGGGTTCAGCCTGGCATTTATTTGTTTCATTTTTAAAATAACTATCTTCTTCTTATTATTTTTAATTCGGCACAGGGCTCATGCACTCCCCAGAGAAGGCAAGCCCGCAGTGGTGGGCCGAGTGGGGCCCAGTGCCTTAACCACCACGCCACCTGCTGGCCGAGGTGCTCATTTTCACGTGTGTAACGTAGAACTTGGGCTTGCTGTTCTTACACCCAGACAACAGCCTCGGACCCCTTCCTACACAAACCCTTCCCCTGGAAGCTGCTCTTATGTAGATTCCCACCTGCGTGGACTGTATCTTCTGTTCCTCCGAGCTGAGGGCGAGCTGAGGGGGGCAGTCCCCTCCTGCTGGGAGCCCTGATGTCTCAGGGCATGTTCTGCTACCCAGACGCCTCCGTCCTTGTTAGAACCATAGAGCCACTTTATTTATTTTTCTAAAACACTTTTTAAAATTAATTTACATTCATTCCCTAAGCACAGTCACAGCATAAAAAATGTGATTTCCTATCAGAATATACTGCGTAGGGAACCAGCAGTTAGCGTAATGGCTGTGTCGCTGGACTCCCACGTAGTCGACCGTGGTTCATGTCCCGGACCCGGTGGCTTAAAACTCACGCCGGGCGCGTGTGCGTGCGTGCCCAAGATCCCGGGAGGAGAATGGAGGAGAAGGGATTGCGGCGTGACCACCCCCCCTGGGGGGTGATTTCTCGCTTTCTGTCTCTATGTCTCTGTCTGTCTGGCGAGCGCACGCGCCCTATAGTGAAAAAAAAAACCCTCTCAAAAAAAAAAAAAAGAATATACTGCATAGTGGCTTAATCATGCATGTTGTCATCAATCATTTTCCATTTCTAGTTTCATATAATATAGATATAAAACTCCTATTTTTTTTTAGAGGTTTTTGCTTAGGGCGCGTGTTCTCGCCAGACAGAGACAGAGAGACAGAAAGCGAGAAATCACCCCCCAGGGGGGATGGTCACGCAGCAATCCCTTCTCCGTTCTCCTCTCAGGATCTTGGGCATGCACGCACATGCGCCCGGAGTGAGTTTTAAGCCACCGGGTCCAGGATGCAAACCGTGGTCGACTACATGGGAGTCCAGCAACATGGCCATTACGTTAACTGCTGGTCCCTAAAACTCCTATTTCGGACTCTGTCTTTTCCCAGCCTCTTCCCACACTGTCTCTGGTGTCTACAGCTGTCTTCCATTCCTTTTCCCCCCACGTTTTATTGTCACAAAATTTCTCAAATAATCTCACTACTTTCAATAGCAATAGAACCAGCTTTTGAGTTCCACGAAAATGTCCTGCTGGGATGTGCTTGTCGCATACAGACGCCTTCACACGCGACGTCGTCTCCCGTGTACCGAGAGCTGTCTGGAACGAGACACGGTTCCGTACTCGGCCCTTTCATTTCTTGTTCTGTCCCCAAGCCCTCTGCTTGTCACATGCCCCCAGGGCACCCAGCAGCTCTCACTGCCACCGCCCTGAAGAAGGGAGTGTCCTCCCCGGTGACGGGCACGGCACGGGGTCACGGGGTCAGTGTCCACCTTGCTCTGACACGGCACGTTTCATTTCTAACCCTTCCGTACCGAGTTGGAGAGATCACATGATTTAGTCTTCAACTAATTTCGTCTATCCCACTTTCCGTCCAACTACTAAGACTTTTTATTTTATACTGTTTTAAATTTCTAACCAAATTTCTAAGAGTTTCTTTTCCCATGAGCGAGCGAGAGCGAACAAGCGGGAGCGAGAGCGAGCCCCCATGGAGTCTTGTCGCCATGATCGCCCCGCCAGCCCCAGGTCATGGATGTGCGTGGAGAGCTCTCGATGCCAACCTGGAGCCCTCCCGCGCGGGTCAGCCTTGCTGAGACAGTGCTGCGACCCCATCAGGATCCCGGTTTCGAATCACCCGTTTTTCCTTCCTGGCCACCCTCTTAATAGACACAATGGCCCTCTAATCAGGTCCCAATTCCTGTAATGACATTTCTACAAATCCAAGCTGTTCGGCAATTCTGTGTGGCTGGAAGCCCCGACTGAGTGATGCTGAGACAGCTCCTCTTCCCAAGCAAGAACCCTGCCCCAGGACAGCAGGGGACCCGCCGAGGATTCAGAGGCACTTTTCTTCCTGGGAACGGCTCACTTTGTTCCAGGAACATGAGCCTCCTATAAGGGAGTGGTTGGACCTCTGACTGTGGCCTGGAAGCCTCCGGAGGTGCTGCAGCCGCGCCGTCCGCCCTCTGGTTCTCTCTCACATAACGCCACGCTGTGCTTACATGTGTTCACTTCGTAGCAGCGTGCAGGTGGTGTTTTGGACAGGGCCCTGCTGTGTCGAGATCACCTCTCAGCCCCGAGTGGCTGGGACCGCAGGAGCACGGCACTGTGCCCTGGCTCGTTAGGGTGGGCGGCCAATTGAACCCAGGCTTCCCGTAAGGCCTGCGCCACGCAGCAACGTGCAGCGCACGCCACGGTGGCTCGAGCAGCTAGAGTCGCATCCAAAGGTCCAGCCGGAGACTGCCTTCAGCTGCAGAGGCGCGTGCTCCTGGGAAATTTACACGTTTCCGTGAACACACACATTACATTTTTGTTATAGGGCGTGTGCGCTCGCCAGACAGAGAGCAAGCCAGAGTGAGCTCACCACCTGGGGAGATGGCCTCGCTACAACCCCGTCTTCTCCATTCTCCTTGGGATTTGGGGCACACACACACAAGCAGCCAGCACGATTTTCTAGCTGTCGGGTCCAGGATTTGAACTGTTGCAGTTGGCGATGTGGGATCCAGCCTCCTTAACCTCCAGGCCCATATTTTTATTTAAAAAAATCTCTTTAACCATCCTAGGAGCTCAACTTTTATTTCTGCTCAGTAAACTGTCTTTAGGGTCGACTCACCACAGGGCTTTTATTTTAGAGTTCTTGATTTCTGCACGTTTTAAGAACAGGGTGGAAAAGGCAAAATTGACAACGTTCTCATTTAAAGTCCCCGCAACCAAATTTCACAGATGCAGCTTTTTCTCACGGAGGCTTCTTGGATGTTTCCGGGAGCACAAGGCAGGGGCTGCCTTGAGAAGGACTCCTTCCTGCTGCGAACCTCCCCCGAGTGCTCGGCCCCACACGGCGTGCGGCGTCCTTCCACTTCGAGGCCGTCCTCCAAGCCCGTGGAGCAGTTCGTTTTCTCAAGGGCGCTGGCTTCGATTCCCCAGACGCGGGCTAGTGGGCGCTGCCGGGGCCCTGTCTCACGAGGACCGCAGGAGGTCCCATGAGGGCTGGGGCCTGGCCCAACACCTTTTCCTATGCTCGTCTTCACGAATGTAAACGTGATGAGCCGTCCCAGACCGCCTCTACCTCAGTGTATCTGGATTATTCTGATCGCAAGGGACAGAAAACGCGAGCAAGCTGGGCTCTCCCAGGGAGCACTGAGTGCAGTAACCATGGTCAGCCTCAGCCCCGGGTCGGCCTCAGCCCCGGGAGGCCTCAGCCCCGGGTTGGCCTCAGCCCCGGGAGGCCTCAGCCCCAGGGCGGACTCAGCCCCGGGAGGCCTCAGA